AAGAATAGCTGACCTTGAGTCTGGGTGTCTGTAATTATAAGTTTCTTGCTGGAGTACTAAGTAGAAATTATGAGTTCTTTGCAGTTGTTAGGGAAATTGTTAGCCTATTAGAAGTTATTTTGAGTTATGTGCTTTGTTTGGAGAAATCTATAAAGAGTTTAGTGAGAGTGTATACTTTGGAGAAGTTTGGATTTTCTATGAGCAAGACGACACTGACAATCCCTCCCAGCAGCTAGGAGGAAGGCTGGCCACTGGAAACCTGCTGCTGTCACCTGTCACCATCTTAGACTTCGGGTAACTATATTCTGGGGTGCTCTAGACTATTGCTATTTTAGATGTGTGCTTTTTACTCAATAAAAACAAGGATTTTTGGGTGGAAGCACTCGTGTGTGTGCCAATCATTTATCAGACAGAGGTGCTATGTTCCCAACTGATTTATTTCCTGACATGGCCTGGAACACAGAGATTAATGTCCATAGTTTTTGCCTTAGATAACCCCGGGTAACATTGTTGCCAAAAAGATCTAGCCTCTTTTTGGTCCTTATCATAAGAGGCAGACCTAGAGTAATGCTGCTTACCCCTCGCATTTACAGCATCCACTACCAGGGAACTGGGGAGAAACAAAAATTCTGAGTCCCTGGGAGGAACATATTTCCTATCCACCCATTTTCAAGATGGTGGCAGAAGTTTGCCACACCATCTTGGCTGGATTGAGAAGCATGTCATTAAAGTGTTTTGCAACCCGGAGTTGCCATCTGCACAATATAGAGGCGCTTGTGTTGTGAGTCTTACTTCCTCAAAAGGTATCTGAAGGGCATCAGTCAACCTTTTCACAAGGTACTGGAATTGGTGAAAATCATTGGTCATCAATGATGGTGGAAGCATGACAGTCTGGTCCTGGGACAAGGATGAAATAGTTTTTTGAGGGGTGGCCCCCTTATCCGCCCTAGTTTCCTGTTTTTCAAAGGTCTCCTTGTGTTGGGGGTTTGGCAGAGGAGACCATGTATCCCTGGCTGCTTGTTGCAATGGAGCTGGAAGTCTGGCAAACTGCTGCCAATGTGCTGACCAAGGATCCTGGCATGGCGATTGGGGGGCCCACACAGGAGAGGGGGTGGCACCCTGGACTAATCCCACCATCTCCGTTCATGGACAAGGATCCTTGTCAAAGTATGGGTTCCTGTACGGATGTGGCGGGGAACCGTGCACTGGTATAAAGGAGACTTATTAAATGTCTCCTTCATCCTCCTCAATGTCCTCCAAAGGGGGAGGGCCATAGAAAAAGGCAGAGAATCTTGTGGTATTGGGAAGCAATGGTAATCTAGAGACCAGGGTCTCAGTACCGAGAGTCATTCTGTACCCATAAGTAGTGTCCATGATCTCCTTTATGAACCCTTTAGTCTTTGGTGGTCTGTAAATGAGCATGAAATTTATTATCAGAGGGGTAGCCGTGTTAGTCTGAATCTGTAAAAAGTAACAGAGGGTCCTGTGGCACCTTTAAGACTAACAGAAGTATAGGGAGCATAAACTTTCGTGGGTAAGAACCTCACTTCTTCAGATGCAAGTAATGGAAATCTCCAGAGGCAGGTATAAATCAGTAAGGAGATAACAAGGTTAGTTCAATCAGGGAGGGTGAGGTGCTCTGCTAGCAGTTGAGGTGTGAACACCAAGGGAGGAGAAACTGCTTCTGTAGTTGGATAGCCATTCACAGTCTTGGTTTAATCCTGATCTGATGGTGTCAAATTTGCAAATGAACTGGAGCTCAGCAGTTTCTCTTTGGAGTCTGGTCCTGAAGTTTTTTTGCTGTAAGATGGCTACCTTTACATCTGCTATTGTGTGGCCAGGGAGGTTGAAGTGTTCTCCTACATGGTGGATTTCAACAGCTTCCACCCCCCCATCAACCTCAGCCTGGACCAATCTACACGGGAGGTCCACTTCCTGGACACCACCGTACAAATAAGCGATGGCCAGGTGGCTAAACAACCAGTGGGGCCCCTTGATGATCGAGATACAAAAGGAGCGCTTAAGGACGATAAAGTCATTGCGGAGAAACTAAATGGATTCTTTGCTTCAGTCTTCACGGCTGAGGATGTTAGGGAGATTCCCAAACCTGAGCTGGCTTTTGTAGGTGACAAATCTGAGGAACTGTCACGGATTGAAGTGTCACAAGAGGAGGTTTTGGAATTAATTGATAAAGTTAACATTAACAAGTCACTGGGACCAGATGGCATTCACCCAAGAGCTCTGAGAGAACTAAAATGTGAAGTTGCGAAACTGTTAACTAAGGTGTGTAACCTGTCCTTTAAATCAGCTTCTGTTTCCAATGACTGGAAGTTAGCTAATGTAATGCCAATATTTAAAAAGAGCTCTAGAGGTGATCCCGGCAATTACAGACTGGTAAGTCTAATGTCTGTACCAGGCAAATTAGTCGAAACAATAGTTAAGAATAAAATTGTCCGACAGATATAAAAACACAAACTGTTGAGCAATAGTCAACATGGTTTCTGTAAAGGGAAATTGTGTCTTACTAATCTATTAGAATTCTTTGAAGGGGTCAACAAACAAGTGGACAAGGGGGATCCAGTGGACATAAGGTACTTAGATTTCCAGAAAGCCTTTGACAAGGTCCCTCACCAAAGGCTCTTACGTAAATTAAGCTTCCATGGGATAAAAGGGAAGGTCCTTTCATGGATTGAGAACTGGTTAAAAGACAGGGAACAAAGGGTAGGAATAAATGGTAAATTCTCAGAATGGAGAGGGGTAACTAGTGGTGTTCCCCAAGGTTAAGTCCTCGGACCGATCCTATTCAACTTATTCATAAATGATCTGGAGAAAGGGGTAAACAGTGAGGTGGCAAAGTTTGCAGATGATACTAAACTGCTAAAGATAGTTAAGACCAAAGCAGACTGTGAAGAACTTCAAAAAGATCTCACAAAACTAAGTGACTGGGCAACAAAACAGCAAATGAAATTTAATGTGGTGTGACAGACCCAGACCAGTGGGGTACAGGAGTCTGGTAGAGGGCAAAT